AATATATCTTATTTCCATTACTTCTATTACATACAGAGAGATACATGTCCATCAACCAATTGCATTGCCGCGTTGAGCTCATCTTGCCACTGCGTACGTGTTTGTCCGGGACGTCCAAAGATGAGATCAATAGAGAACCTCCCAGGAAACAACGTACGCGCCACCTCAACTGCAGCCATGGCCTCGTCAATGGAGTGATTACGCCCTAAAGTGGGAAACCAGCCGGGATAGGGGTGGGTGGGGGATATGTGGACAAGCGTGTACTAGAGATGTGGACATGTGTGCACTAGATATGTGGACAAGCCTGTACTAACATGCTTACCACGTCACAGCCCGTCATACAAACTTCACGCCAGGGCACCTTGCGCGCTGACACACCACAGCTAGTACCGCTACGGCATGTCTCTGTACGTAAACTTACATCAATACACGCAGCGGCCTGTCGTCTCCCGTTTTACCTACACGTGTCACCACACATCAGATGAGCTTGTAACACACCATGCCATGTCACAGTGTATCACTCCACTCCGCACTATGCGTGGCCCAGGCATGCACACAACAACACAACACACCTAGGAACAGCAGATCCTCGGGAGAGATCAAACTCTGTACGCCCAGAGACATGCGGTTGACTCCTGCATTCCTGAACAGCTCCATTTGTTGTATTTCTGTGGACGAGGGATTGCCTTCCATGGTCACCTCCGTCACACCTGAACCGCAGAGGGACAAACAAGGCCGAGAAGCGGGTAAAGAAAGGGCCAACAAATCTATGGCGTGTATATTATGTATATAACGAACACGGGCGAATGGAGATATCAGCGAACAAAGCACCGTGTGAGCTATGGCAATGGTCGTGTTGAGTAGAAATCTTCGTCAGGTATACGACGAGTAATGACGAATGGGGACATACGCAAACAAAGCACCGTAGGTGCTATGGTTATGGTCCTGCTGAAGTATGCAGTGACGAGAGGAAAGCGTTTTTTCTGCGGTGGAGTGCAATACACGAAAGACATCTCAAGAGACGAGACACGTACAGAGGTGATAGGATGGATGTGCAGCAGATGGCAAGCTGTGCCAGCACATAACAACACACAGCTAATCATAATATAAACATGGTACACATAACAACACACACCTAATCATTATATAAATGTGTTCCACATAACACACACCTAATTATAAGATAAAGGTGTTATACATAACAACACACACCTAATTATAATATAAAGGTGTTGGAAGCGACCACACACACCCGCCCACGGGTAGATGGTCGGGTTGACAGGGAACGGAAAGTGTATACGATAGCCGTGTGATGTTCATTGCAGGCATTCACAACGCGTTCGATCGGAGAAACTTATTCGCGGGGGTCTGTCAATCGGAACTCACTTCTCTATGACAATAAACGTAAGCTACGAAAAGAGATGCAGAGATGGAACAAGCAATTCGCTATTGAGCCCTGTTGTATATGGCTCATTATTGATAGTATGCTGCTAATGTCAATTACCGTTATTGTTACTTTTATGTTTAAGAATCGTGCTTATTTTGATAGTAAGCTGCTAAATGCTTTTGATTGCTTTTGAATATCGACCAATATGATGTGAAACTGTCGATAATTGCCATACACATAGTGTTATTGTTACTTTTATGACTAGGAATCGTGTTTATTTTTGGTGGCGCTCCAACCCACCAAATAATACATGTGTCTGTGTCAATCAACCAATATAATCATATGTTCTCACGAGATCGTGTGTACGTACACATACCCGTGTGGATAGGAGAAGTTAATCATGTATGCGTACAATAATGCACAGGATACCTCGGCAATAAATGCGTGTTGGTAGACTAGTCACAGGTGTGTACCGATACAAAATATATCCATGAGAATTGTGGACACAAGCATGCGCTTGTATCTTCGCTTGTTGTACGGAGGAAGCTCGTAAAGGCTATTCTCATGAGCTTTTGCCATAGCACACAGCAGATGCGGAGGTACAGCACAGCCTAACACACAACTCAGCACAGGCACTCCACCACAACCCCAACCACACATCTCCCGAAGCAACTCTATTACTTATAATCTGGCATCTGATATCGCATACATACACAGCCAACTCTTGCTGTATGAGCCCAGCATCAGTCATCATACTCAGCAGTGTCTGATAGTCTGTGGTCGTGCTATTTGACAAATTGTTCCCTATTAAACACACAAACAAACCTTTCTATATGAAACACACAAACAAACATTTCTGTGATAAACACACAAACAAACCTTCCTGAATTAAATAAACAAACAAACCTTTCTATATCAAACACAAAAACATACCTTTCTATATTGAACACACAAACATACCTTTCTATATGAAACACACAAACAAACCTTTCTATATTCATCTCACAAACAAACATTTCTGTGATAAACACGCAAACAAACCTTCCTGAATTAAAGAAACAAACAAACCTAAATGTATTAAACACAAAAACATACCTTTCTATATTAAACACACGAACATACCTTTGAGTATTAAACACACAGCCATATCTTCCTGTATTAAACACACAAACAACCTTTTCTGTAAAACAGTCCAACAAACCTTTCTGCATCAGCCCTGCATCCGTCATCACATCCAGCAGAGCTTTGATCGTCTGTGGCTGTGCTAGTGTAGGGGTGCCCCCACCAAAAAACACCGACCGGATGCTTGTGGGCTTAGTAGCCGCCAGAGCGGTCTTTAATTCCGTCACAAGGCAGTTGCGCATGCGTTCGTGATCGACGTTGTCTTTGACATAGCGGTTGAAATTGCAGTATGAGCACATTTTCTGTGCGTGTGTGGAGAGGAAGCGATGTGTGGTTTTAAGGACAGGACAGTGCTGCAAGAGATGATACAGATTCACAGTACTTGTTTGAAATTGAAAGATATATTGTTCGGATGAACTTGTGTGCTGCACTCATATGCCGTACAGTGTGCCTCATAACATATCCATGTCTGTAACTGTTTCATGTACGGGTATTCCGAACAACCTGCTTCGCGCAAACAGTCTCCGGCTGTATATCACAGGGCACCTTGAACCAACACAAACACTCAGCCCACAACTATCGGCGACTATGCTACACTGATCCAAGACGATCCATGTGGTAAAACCCACACGTGATTGCCGTAGCATGGTGATATAATTGCGTTGAAAAAGGGGGATGCCTTTTAAACGATAGAAAGGAGGGTACGATGCTGGTTTTGTTTGCTCATCATACTTAACAGATCGAGAACCTAGTATACTACAAGTTACTGCAGCATACTGGTATCAACCCAACATTAAAAGCTCTCAGGTACTGATCTACTGACGGAGTAACGCTTGTAAATGTACCGCTAAAGTTGTGGGACTCGACATCGTTCAGCATGAATATTAGTAGTGAGATAAACAAAGCGTGCATACCATAGTAACACCACGAATATTTATAAAGAATGGCATTTCCAAACATTCCCTACATGGACACGCCAAGGCAAAGATAACCCCGCCATTTACGCAGAAAAGTCAACAACTGCAGTACCTTGCAATAAGGCCAGTGGATGTAAACCGCAACATCGCGAGAAGCCACTGCGCGAGTGTCGAGTGTGTCACGAGTTTTTGTGACAGGGTTTGCCGTCAAATACATCATTCTGCGATTTAACTTGTATAGCCTGCGATCAGGCTTGTAAAGATTGCTGAACGGTGTTGTGCTTCGCAGTTGCAACATGTATCGTCCAGCCAAAGCAGCGGAAGTGGCGCCAACCATTGTGCTTTGCTTCTAGCGTGCGGAGTTGCTGAGTGTTGTGTGTATTGCACTATATACTATTGCGCGTGCCCGTTTCCTGCCTGAATGGATGTCATATATAAATATGACGATCTGGATATGTCTTGTTAGAAGGCTGTATTGAACAAGTGCATATGTCATATATTTATGTACATGTATATTAAAAGCCTTGCCCTACTCAAGAATTTAATTAGACAACCTCATTCGAATTTAGGGTTTTGGAATTTGGCCCCTAACGCTGTAACACATGATCCGGTATAGTAAACTATACAGAATCCACAAACCTTATTTGTTGAAAAATAAGTATCTCGAAATAATGATTGGTTGAAAGTTGAGAATCTCGAAAACATAATTGGGTAATAGTTAAAACATTGACCTTTAGACGACACATCAAGAGTTGACAGTTTTGTTCACTGTTCACTGTTCACAGTTCACAGTTCACACAAGAAGAGACCTCGAGATACACATCAAAAAGGATCGTCGCCACTCTCAAGCGCGTATTAGGTGGACAGCAGGTTAGAGAGCTGAGAGGGGGCCTACGGAACTATCTACATATTCTGAACTCAGATGCATCACTCTAGAGAAGCGAGTTCTGACGCCTGACATGCAGACTGAGGAACTACGCACCAACTATGCCTTACGACTTAGTACTTGGCCCTCTGTTAATTGAAACTTATCTGCTTCAGCAGCCTTCCCAGCCTGGACGCTATAACTCAATCTGACAGCAGCTGACGTATATATGCGAGCTATACTACGTAGTCTAAAAAAAAATCAGAGGCTCGTAAAAAACCCCCCCGCTTTTATTTCATTGAACTTGGCACCTCGTGAATAAACGGTCGTTCAGACATCTCTAGCTGTTAATGATTTCAATTTAGAAGGCTATGTTAATCCGTCTTGATATTTCTACCAGGCTGTCGCGAGTTCAGCTGTAGTAGTATTCCTTATATAAGTAGTAGGCCGATATAACACCCTCTTGACACGGCATGTTGACCCAAACTATAGAATGTCTATTGATAGGCATTC